CCTGTTTTCGCGCTTAGAAGCTTCATAACTATTTAAAACCGGTCGTTCGCCAGATTTTGAAAACAAATTCGGAATCAGCGCTAAATTCTGCACAAAATAGGCTTGGTTCCGCGTAAAAACTCGATTCTCACTAAATACTTCCCGTTTTACTGGTTTTAATAGTTATTCTCTTATTTCAGTCTATATATGTTTTAGAAAAAGATCGAACAACTCGGCGAGCTGATCGAACTTGTCGAAATCGAGAAAATGAAGCAAATGCATGGAATATCTGGGCCGCGCCATGTTCTCGACCAGCTCTACGATCACATCAAGTGTGAAATTGTGGTAGGTTGAACGCGTTATAAAAAGTTTTTTTATTCGAAAGATGCCGTAAAATTCCGGGTTTTTCAGCCGCTCGATCGGGAGTGCAGCGACTTCAAGATGATCGAGCGATATATGGATTCGGGAATTCACTGTAATTACAACCTGGTGCATAACTACGAGATTGCTGAGGTGATAGATTTTATCTGCTTTAATTATGCTAAAAATAGTGTCTATAAATGTAGAATATAGCTATTAGTCGCACGAGCAGCCTCAAAAATTATATTTCCTTTTAATTTATAGTGATACCTTAATACTCAATTTTTCAGGTATTCTCCCTACGCCGCCTCAGCGAGGATATCTCATTCCGAAAAGATCTCCCAAACCGTACGTTACTCTGGCATGGCTCTCCGGTCGTGAATTACTGCGGGATTTTGACCCAGGGCTTGCGAATCGCGCCGAAAGAAGCGTCATCGATTGTAACTTGTTTCGTTTTTGTAATTTATCATTTTTTTAGACTGGCCAAGCGTTCGGGCGCGGCATCTACTTCTCGGACAACTTCAACGTGTCGTTACACTACTGCCGCGCGTTGTATGAGCAAGAGGCGTTGATGTTGCTGTGCGAGGTGGCGCTGGGAGAGGTGATTTTTGCGTAAACGTATTTTACTGAATTTTACAAATTTGACCTGATAGGCTTCATAATAAGCACTGTTTGTATTGACCTACAAAATGCAGTTTACAGCTTGTAGCTTGCAAAAATTCTACACTTTCAGTTTTGGAGACTTCATAATAAACATATTTTTGAATATCGGGAAGCGTATTACAACATAGCTTACGTAATTTTACCATTTAATTTATAGACTTGATTACATTCATATTTTTGAGTATCGTCAAGGGTATTACAACGTAGCTTACTAAATTTTATTTGTTGGAATTGATCGACTTCATAATAAGGTTTTTTTAGTGTTGTGAAGGGTCTTGAAACGTAGCTTACTATATTCTACTCTATTAAAAACGTCATTTTGAACATTTTTTTAGTGTCGTGGAGGGTTCCGTTCGGCCAACCTCAGCAACGGCAATGAGTGGAACTCAACGTGCGGTTAGTCAAAGTCGTATTTTTAAGTATTTTCTGCATTTTTAGTGCGACGCAGCCCGACGAGCGGCGCCCTGGACATTGGCACTGATCCCGAGCATATACAGCATCCGGACGGCTATGTTGTGCCGCTGGGTCAGCCATATCCAGTGAAGCAGATTCGCCAGAATTAGTGAGTTTGCGTCTTATTTTATACGTTTTAAACCGATTTAATAGATTTTCTGAATTTTCGAGTGCTTTTGCATTATCGGGGGATCAAGTTTTTTGTGTATGAATTTAGAAATGTCCAGCAACTTAATAGGAAGCAATTTATTGGTGTGAAAAATATAGCTATATCTCAAGTGGAAAAACGATCAAAAAAAAATTTAAAAAAGGTTCTTGATTGCAATTTTTGTAGGAAAAACCGCTTATTTTTGGCCTAAATCGATATTTTTATAATTATTAACCAAAATTTGTAAAGTTTTAACGTTTAAAACTAGTAAAAAAGAGCCAAAAAACACTTTCGCTATTTATATTTTTGAAAAATTGGATTCTCAGAAAAAATTTGCTCCCCTCGCCGATAATGCCAAACAACCGTTAATTCTCTATTTGGGGGATTGTATTTTATGAAAACTAAATGTGATTTAAAATTTGTATCATTAATTACGTTGATCTTTCAGCTTCATCATCCCAAAAACCGACCAGGCCCGACTGCGCTTCGTGGTGAAGGTGCGCGTGAAGCCCGTCGAGCCACCACCCGGATTCCCGCCCCACCCATCATTACCCCCACGTCATTAAATTATAGCCTCATTTATTACCCACTTTTCTTCTCACTGCTCGTTAGATTTCCGGTCTCTATCCTTCGATCCTCATTTCCGCTTCTTATCTGTCAAAACATTCCAAAGATATCCATGACGCACTCATTTGCACTCAGGGACCCTCAGATTCGGTATATTAAGCTTTAACCCTCTTCAAGCCATCTTATATAATATCTGCCATGCATCCATGCCGGTCTATGTAATGCTTATAATGGGATGTATCTCCAAGATTTATTAAACTTACGGTTTCCTGTTTTTGGAAGTAATAAATTCGTCGTGATTGCTTGCTTATAAATCTTCGCTGTGAAATTTCGGAGCTCGAAAATTTTTTAGCGTGCTAGCCCATTTGAGGTCCGCCACGTGCTGTTTCCGAACGACATTTGCAGCCTGTTCATCTACCGCGTGGTTGTTGCCTACTTGGTAATTTTGAGGATTTCAGCTTTTCAACCATCCTCACGGTTAAGCCAAGCGAACGGCGTCCCCTCCCCCAACTTCCTCTTGACAAAAACTTTGCCTTCCCACCCAACCATTCCCTCCATCGGCAATTCATCCTGAAAATCGAAAAAGAAGTGGTGTGCCGCCGGGATTTGGCTAGGTGGGCGGCGGGCCAGATTCTGCTGCTCACAAGGGCGCGCGGCGGATGATGGAGGCCGATAACAATGAACCGCCCATCTACCCTTCGGTTGCGTAGTCGGGACGGGATTTCGAATAGATTGCTCCGGTAGATCCGGCAGAACCGGGAGCTCGGATTTTTAAATTCAGGCTTGTTTTGTGTTCTTTGGCGCCTTCTAAATTTTCTTGGCAGGCTCAGATTTTGATTGCAGGAGTATTGTGCCCTTTTCAAGGAGCGTGTATGGCAAGACCATAATCGTATTTCCTATGGAATTCCGCGCGATGCTTGCACTTTGATTTTTATTGCGTAATGTGTTGTGCTATTTCCACGTTCCTTAAGCGGCGCGCTCGCGTTGCATGTCGAGGGCCCCGAGCAACTTTAGTAACAATCCATATCGCCTTAACCGTTTCCTTAAAGGGACTAGCAAGTCGCGGAATCGAACCCTACGCGAGGCGCCTATTGACACCATTCCGTAGACTTCCACGTAGAATTACGAACGTCATTTGACCGAGCGCGTCGCGCTCTAGGCCTAGTCGATTGAAAGAGTCGGTTCCGGTAATTTCTAGTCACCGGCTCGTAAATAAATCTGTGGATTGGAAAACGCCAAGTTGAATTTCAAAACCAAGAGAATGAGGTGGCCAAAAATAATTTCTTTTCTTTAATGGTGAGATATAATTTTTGAAGTTTACAAGAGGTACGGTAAGGAAAATAATACGGTAGGCAAAAATCGATTTTTTTTTCGTGGACGGTACTACTCAATTCATTAAACAAATTAAGTACTGTATTTGAGCAGCGCCCCGTAGCTCTACTATTCGAAGCAAACGCCCTATCACTCCTCCACCCCTTTCTAGGGGTTCTGATATTCGGCATTGGGCTGACCCAAATCGAGAACGGGTATCCGGCCCCGTTTTCTCTTTCATCTCAATTTCTCCTCATTCCTATGTCTCGCCCCCATCCCTAAAGACAGCCCCTCGACAATTGTCGCAAAATAATGCGATCGGCTTCTCCAATTCGCCGGGGTTTTGGGGGGAATTTCCCTTTTTCGCGTCCCGGCTGGTCGGAGCCGTTTTTTGCGCACTTGCACTTTTTTTGGGGGTTGGTTAGGGAAATAGGCCTTTTTTGCGTGTAATTTGGAAGGCTGGTCACGGTTCCGGCTTGAAAATATTCTAAAAAGGCTGATTTGAGGCTCTAAAGAATAAAATCCGCGACTCCATGAAGCTTTCAAATTTCTAAAAATCGGCGCTAAAATCTTAATTTCTAAATTTCTAAAATTCTAAAAGTTAGTTCCGTTTCAAGGATTTCAATTAATTATCATAACAGTTTCAACAAAGATTACTGAGGGTGCCAGCAGAGATCTTTAAGGATTTTGCCGAGAAATCCGAATTTCCGTTTTTTAACGTTTTACTGGAAAATCAGAATTTTGCTTTCTAAGGACTGCCATTAGAAGTTCTAATTTTTTACTCTATAGATTAGCTGAAAAACCCGGATTTTTGCAATTTGAGGCTTTTACTGAGAAATTCTGATTTTGCTCCCTTTCTATGCGGTATAAAAACCGTAACCTCGTCTATGCGCAAAAGAAGTTTACCGTTTGATTCACCTGAATTCCATTCTCGAATTATCTTGTCCTTTTAATAAGCTTTCAAACCTTCGTCGATATTCTGAAAAATTAACCATTTTTGGAAGGCTAATTGATGCCATCTTTTTAGCATGCGGCTCCTCCTGGGCCTTCTCTGCCTGGGCTCATCGGCTTTAGGCCTCAAGAATGTTTTTGTCTCGTCACCTTTTGACAATTTCCGGATAGAGTGTCCAAAGAAATCAGGTGATAAAAAGAAAATAAAGAAATAAAAGCATATATAAAATAATGCAAATTAATTTTAGGAGCGAACGGCCTCGGGGTGCGGATGGTCGAATCAGTAGGAGCCAAAAGACAAGACGTCGTTTTTGAGATGTCGTGCGACGAGGTGTCAGGAGGTGAGGCTTTTTTTGCCTAGTGCTGCTTTTTATTTTAAAATACTCTCGATATCATTGATCGAAAAATTGCTTCGGAGCCCTTTAAAAGGATTTTTTAGCTAAGTAATCGATACCAAGATTTTTTCAGCTGTATCCCTGGAAGAACATCCCCCAAGGTATCGTCGATATGGAACGAGAAGACTGCCATTATTCCCACATGTTTGACCCTATTATCGATGAGGAGAGCCAGTTGTCGTGCGGAAATCGAGAATATTTGGCGGGGATTATTCGAATTGCGGAGACCAAGTGAGTGTTGAAAATTAAGGTGTTACATGAGAATTACTTACATCGAAAACTCTCCACTTTCCTAAAAATTAAGCATAATTAACGCTTAATTAAAACTTCATTATAACATAACTAGAAAGCTGAAAAAAAAAAATAAGGATAAGTCCAAAAAATTTGATTTTCCAGAATCCAAATCATGTGCTGCCGCCTCCGCAGTCGCGAAGAGTTCAACTGCAACGAGCAGGTGTTTAACAAACCGTTGGGCCCGACGAGGAGCACGATTATTGAGTACGTTCCGATACGATTTACACAAAGAAATCCTGATTTTTTAGAAATGACAACATGCTGATCAACTCGATCGCCGTTAAAGATATGCAATATCGTGTCCGATTTTGCGATTTTTCACCCAGGAGTATTGGTGCGTACTTTGCAAAATACCTAAAATTAGCGGAATTTTTAGAAGCCATCTATGAGGATCTTCCTGCGAACAAGAAGAAGGAGTTTTTGGCTTCTACCACTGAGGCGTCGTTGATTCAGCCGGCCGAGTAAGTCCAGAGGTCATTAGAGGAACTAGGAAGGAGGGGAACCGACCCTTCTGTCGACTAGGTCTCGACAGCTACGCGAGACACGAAAAGTTGTTCAAACAGTTTTTCATAGCCGCTAGTAATGTCGTAGATTCGGCTAAAATCACAAGCTATCTCGTGTGGCATTTGGTGCGGGGGGTAGCTGTCGATGGCTAGGAGTAGAGGTTGAATCTGGCACTCCCTGCTCCCTTTAAAATGCTAAAAAGACTGCCGTCACATTTCAAGCAATTTTCACATTACTTTCAATGAGCATTTTTAGAGAATCCAACGAGCTCGGCGACAACAGCAACCAAGCCGTAGACTCTGAAATTGAGGATCTAGCGCCGACGACCCCGGTGACCACCACCACTCCTACGACTACTACCACTACTACTAGCAGACCAGAACCGACCACTACTAGGTATTCTGCTGATTTCTAATTGTAAGTTCATGTAATTTTCAGTTCCCAGCCGACCCTGTTGCCATCGTCGGGAAGCTCCACTGAGCCTAAGCTTACCCTTATTCGGCTGAACATGGATGGATCTTTTGCTGGAGCTGAGGAGATTACGGCCAAGGTATCTCTCTCTCGCGCTCTCTCTCTTTCTCTTTCTCTCTCTCTCTCGCTCTCTAACTATGTCCTTCTGTCTCTCGCCACCAACGAAATTCCAGGAATTCATGGAAACCCCCAACCCGGCCCCCGAGCGAGAGCAAGCCAACTCGGCCTCAAATTCTGTTGAAGACGAGCCGGTCTTAAATCAAAACCAGAAGCCTGAACCCGTCGTCCCGATGGTTGAGATGTCAACGGAGCAACAAGGTACTAGGCCACAAAATATGCTGATTTTTGGTTTTCAGATTCGCAAGAGCAACCTCAATTCGTGAAAGGACGCAAGTTTGGTAAGCAAATTTTTATCGCGAGAGAGAGAGAGAGAGAGAGAGAGAGAGAGAAGGAGAGGGAGAGAGAGGGAAGAGAGAGAAACGCTGTATTTTCTAGGAAACCGTCCTCATGCTCACGGACTTCGCTCTTTGCATACCCAAGGAAAAGCCGTACCACCAATGGTTTCTGATATTTTGAAGTAGGTGATGATTAATTTTAAGATAAGCACCTATGCAAACACTTACTCCTTGATAACCTGGAGCAGTACCGACTCGATTTAACGTAATTTTCCAGGCGAATCGAGTCCGCTTCCAGCGAGAAGGTGAAGACCGAGATTTTCAAAGAGAGCATCGCTCAACTCTTGGGGGAGAAGTTGCCGGAGTTTGAGCAAATGTCTGCACCAAAGAGGGTGACGCCAACGACCACCACCACGACGCCAACGACGACGACAACCCCAACTACCACCCCGACAACTACGACAAGGACCACGACAACGACTACAAGGGCTACTACGACGACAACCGAGGCAACGACGGTAGGTTGAAGCCTACTTACGCCTCTTGATTCCCAGTTTTCTGATCAATTTCGGCCTTTTCTAGACGACAAGGGCACCCACAACTACCACCACGACTACGACCAGGGCACCTACAACTACTACCACCACGACTACTACAGCCGAGCCGGAAACCACCGTCCCGCTCAAGGTGTTCAAGCGGCCGGAGTATCAGGCGCCTGAAACCTCGGCTGAAGCTGGAAAGCAGATCGTTGATGTCTCCAAGTAAGTTAGAAGCTGATTTTTACGAGACTATGTATTTTTTTAGGATCACCTTTGCCGATAGCGACTTCCCACAACCACCCAGCAGTGCCGAGCAGGAAGTGGAGCAAACGACGGAGGCTGTGGTAAGTCCCTTTTTAGTTCCGGTTTCCGAAAGGACATGTTTCTATCAGCTTTTATTTCGTTTGTTGTCTTGAGGCTATCGCTCAAGTCCCGATGTCTTGACTGTTACAGGACGCTCCAAAATACGCGAGAAACTTTCTGTCATTTTTTTAAATCTCCTAAACTAAAGACAAGTCAAAAGTCAAGGTTGATACCATGCAAATGAAATGCAAAAAATCCATAAGAATAGCGCCAATACTTCAATTTTTAGCACGTCCCCATCCCAGCCGAACTTCCCCAATCCGCCGACTTCATCATGCTGAAGTCGCTGAAGAAGGGCCCCATCCGGCGGGCACCAATTCGGGCATTCCGCAAGCACGTTGTGAGCATCTATGATTTGGAGGATTAAGTTGGCTTTGAGTGAATAGTACCATGATGTAGTATACTAATATTAACACCGTAAATAAGTGAGAAAAATATGCTAATTTGCCGTCTAAACAAAATGTCAAACATTTTTTTCCCCGAAAAACGGCAAAACCCCCGTTTTATGTTGTGCCTCGGAATTATACTGCTTATTAAATGCAACTATAATTAACGCTATGCTAATTTCCTAATTTCCTATCGTAATCTTTCTAACCCTATCTGTTATTTGTGCAAAGTTCTGTCGGGTATTCATAATTTCATGATTTTATACTGTAGAAATTTTCTGTTCTGCTCTGTGATTTCGTTCCACTCCCTTGTGTTCCCCTCTAATAAAGGTGCTGCTTGGCTTGGTTGAAAACCGCTTTTATTAATGCATTCATAGAAACATATAGACGGGACCCTGGCATGGAGGTACGGTAGCTAGGTGTGGATTAACAGAACGGATCGATATCTTAGGTGTATTTTAGGATTTGTGGTCCGAAGAAGGGGGCGAAGAGCCCGATTTTGCGGATATTTTGGACGCGGAAACCCTGAAATTGGAGAAGGAGGTGGAGAAAAATAAGCAGAAGAAGAAGTTATTGAAGGTAAGCCGAGGGGAAGTAGGGTAACTTGCAGAGATCGTTGAGAAAAAGTGGCTTTTTACGAGATTCATTGTGAAAATGTACTTTTCCAGTTATTTCAAAAGCTTTGTAACAGGAAAAAACAAAATAAATAGCAACGATTCTTCAGGAAAAAATAAATTTGTGAATTTTTTTAGAAACTGATGGAAGCGCTATCTCTCAGCGACAATTCTGGTGAAGTTTTCGTCCCGGCATCTACTGAAAAGAGCCAGGAGGAAAAGCCGAGGAGAAGAAAAGTAAGCGCGAGAAATATAGCTTCTAACCCAAGTCTAGATCATCCGTAAAATCATCCGCAAAATCCGGAAAACCACCCCGACACCAACCACGACCACGGAACCGGAACCCGAGTACCTCGTAAGTTAATTTTTCGTGGTTTTAAAGTCCGTATTGCATATTAAAATCTGAGTATTTAGGATCCAGAGCACACAACAACGACTTCTTCACGAGATGATATCGTCAAAAGTTACCAGGAGTTGAAGCTCAAGGAGAATTCGATCGTTTTCCATACCGTAAGGGATTCCCATGCATCGAAAAGTGCTTTAGGCTGATAATGCCAAGCATATCGATGAGGAGACGGAGTACTCACCATTTGACGACGAGGAGGCGGATCAGGTAAAAAAACTAGAAAAGCTGACTCAGTCTTACTTTCACCGTAACTCTCTCTAACTAGCTCTCTCTCCCTCCTCTTATTCTCGCACTCTCACACTCGCCCTATTTTTCGCCCTTCCTTTCTCTGTTCTGATTACATATTTCTTCCTATTTAGCTCTTTCACTCTAACTTTTCCTCTGTGTTTTTCTCTGGTTCACGCTTGCTCTTGCGCTCGCTATGGCTCTTGCTACTGCTTATGTTCTTTCTCTGCTCTTACTCGTCATCTCTCACCACGGACTCTTTCTCGCGATGATTCTCTCTCACACCCCCTCTCTCGCTCTCTCTCTCTCTCGCCCTCTCTCTCGCTCTCTGTCTCCCTCTACCATATTTCTACTTTTAGCCAGCTCCGACTCGAAAACCCACGATAGAGCTCGGATTCCAACAGGACATGGACGTGGAAGAAGCCGCTCGTCGTTTAACTGAGAATAAACATGAAATCCGAAGAATGCAGTCTAGTAAGCCACCTCCTTCTAAAGTAATGCTATCTGCAGGGATCACTCCAGCACAACAAAACGAAGAGAAACCGAGGGAAGAGACGGAACCCAGAAAACAACCCGTACGGACGACCACCGAAAAGGCTTCAGAGGGGAAGCCTTCAAAGGAGGAGCTGCAGTTTGAGAACCTGGTATCGGACGAGCCGATCCTATTTCCGGAATTTAATGAGAAAGATGGGGTGACGACTGCGACGATGGAGATGCCAAAGGAAGGTTGGTTAGAGGTTTGATAGAGGCCCGTTAATATTTAAACACTTAGAGCTCAATTTTTTTATTAAAGTTAAGGTTCAACTTCCCAGGGTTTAGAAATGACAACGACTACTCCCGTCCCAACGACATCAACAAGGAGGTCAGCGCCTAAGAGGCTGAAAGAAGCTGCAAAACGGCATACGACTCCCCAGCCGGACTATCCGGACCTTCCGGAAGGTATCGAATTTTAAGGCTATAGTTACTAGCCTATGTCACCTTCAGAGCTCGTCCCGATGCAAGTCACCAAGAAGTACAAATTCTACAAAAAGAAGCACCCTACTGAATTCTACCCGACGGTTACAACCACTGAGCATGCGACTACGGTATGTGGGAGAGAGATAGAGAGAGAGAGAGAGAGAGAGAGAGAGAGAGAGAAATTGGGCATTTTAGGAAGCCACAACCACTGAAACCAGCTTCCCTGAACCCACAACTACAGATGCCGATTGGCTAGCCTGGCAGGCCGCCCAGACGACGATGGTTGCGGAGACGACAACCGAAGAATCCGACAACTACGATTTTTCCAAATACTTCCACACCCTGAGACCGAGGTTGCAGAAGCAGCAGAGATGTGGGTTTTCAAATAGGCTGTTGTAACGTGCCACATATTTTTAATTTATATTATATTGTATGCTAATTTCTATTCTATATTTTTGTATTTTATCGTATATTTTTCAGATTTAACGTTCTGCACGAAAGATACGGCCCTTCGTGACCGTTCGAATATGGTAATTGCGTGCGGAGACCAAGATGGAGAGTGGTTGGTTTTTTTCTTAACCTTAGCGTCTAACCCATCTGAAAATTCATTAACCAACTATATCTTTTTATTTAAGGTACCCCACTCGATGCCCAGAGTCGGCCGGCTGCTTCGACTCCGAAGACGCCACCTACAAAATCTGCTGCAACGTCTCAAACGGATAATTAATTGATCGTCATTTCTCCCATTATCATCATACCTCACAGATCTTGTCTGTACATAGCAATAATTAAAATAATAATAATAATAATATTTATAGAATGTTAATAAATTTGTGGATCTAGTTACGACCTTTTCGCATGCATTTTGTTTTGTCTTCAAGAATGCTGACAATACCCCATAGTGAGAAAATTGTTGCGCCTACTACTGCGTATCCCAGGGCTACCACTAGCCCTTGAAAATAGCGCGCCGGCCGTTGGCTAAAGTACGACACTGGATGCCACTTTAGCGTCAAAGCTACCATTTTTGCGATTAATAATATTACTATTGATATCCTTTATGATTGAATCTTCTCAAAATTTCGATTTTTGGATGAGAAAATATTTAATTTCTTTTCGTGCCAAAAAGAATTTTTGCATTTTTGGTATATTTTTGCAAAAACGAAGAGAAACTTCGTCAAACCTAAGCGCTATCATAAACTACAATTCGGTTTCTGGATTAGAAACTTGCTATTTGCCATTTTTTACGATATAACCTTGCAAAAGATGTATCAATTTTGGATTTTCCCGAGCTGTACCTTAAGCTACTATTTTACATCTAATTCACCGTATACTAACAACGACGTGTTTTTTCTAGGGTGAGCGGAACAGCGCTTTTGGACCTTTTTTCGCCTCCGCGCTTCACAATACTTCCCGGCGAGCGTATATCACACATTTTTGTGGCTCTGGGAGGATTAGCACTTACTAGCGCAGTTTGAGCTCTGCAAAATGGTGTATTTGAAGTAATTACAGCCCGGTTTTGACCCAACTTTTGCTCAAACTCGACTGGCGTTCTTTTCAGTCTAAAATCCCTTAACCTTCTCCGTTTATAAAGTGTTCCAGCCATCCTTCCCCTCTCTTTAATCTACCCTCCACCTGCCACATACCCCTCTCTGGGTCACCACCGTTTCCATTCCAATTACTGGAGGGTGTGTTGAGCTGTGTATGGCGAGAGAGAGAGAGAGAGAGAGAGAGAGAGAGAGAGAGCGAGAGAGACATTGAAAGCTTCCATTTCGAGGGAATGGGGGAGGGTACATCCGAATGCAAATCCGACCAGTCTACCCTCATGCCCGCTCTTTCCAATCCCTGTGAATATTGCGCAAATGGAAATGGGCGGCTAGCTAGCGGGTAGTATGCTTGGTAGTTGGCTAAAGGGAGCATATAAGAAGCCAAAATACGTCATTTTAAGTAGGTTTTAATTATTAAAACTTTCTGCATATTTATTTTTACGTTTTATCTTTATGGAATTTATGAATTTTTGTTACTAAATTAAACTTTCTTTTTGTTGCAAAATCGAAAGTAATAATTATCGGAAATTTTCATAATTTGATTGGCTTTATGGTAATTAGCATAGCATTTAATATACCGTAGAAGTGCTAAAATGTTAAAAAGTTCACGAAGGCAATAACACAAAGTTGGCTTAAGGAAGAACAACGTAAGTCGCACTTTTTTACTTTGGTGTTTTATTCTATTTTAATAAAATAATCTCTAAGTTTTACTGCCTATATTTGTGCTATTTTCATTTATTTTGTATCAATTCTTGAGGTTAAAGCATTTCTTTCTTCTGTAAAAAAATAACCATTTTTAATTTAGAATTTTCAAGCTGCTTTGCTTGTGCCTTTCGATTTGAAAACCGCGAGATCCGAAAATTCCATACAAATTGCCCTTTTCTCTGACCGTCTGGGCCCCCGTTTCTTGCACACTCTCTAGCTAGACGCGCTCAAAATGTTCGTGCCTTTTTTGCGGGTGTCAGGGGGGTTGGAAAATTGTCCCGATGCGGGGGTCGATGCTCTCAAAATGGGGACTCACTCCACTCAACGGTCAGCTACTCTATGTACTAACTGGTACTGCGAGGCCATTTCTGGCAGCGGACAGCGTTTTGATTGATTTTTAAAGCGTAAACGGCCTGGCTTATTTTTATTTTAAAATGCTCGAAAGTGTAACTAATTTAAACTTTTAAGAATCTCCAAAAAGCTTTGATTTTATCGTGTCATTGGACCATTTTATAGTGTGATTTTAAGACCAGATTTGTTTACTGCCAAGCCGCTAATCCACCCACCCAGCCGGCCCTTCATCTGGTTGCTCCCTAAAATGTGCTCGCCTCGTCGGGTGACCCCTTGACCCCTCAAATGTGGGTACGGGGCCCATTGTTATAACCACCCACCCACTACGCGGCCGAGCTTCCGCTTTTGGGCTTGTAGGTCTCTCTCACTCTCTCACACTCACTCGCACTCTCTCTCTCCCCATCACTCTTTCTTCTCCGTCCGTCACTCCTCACCTTCTCCCCTCTCTCAATCTCTCTTTTGCTCGCGCAGTCTTGGTATTTCGTATTTAAATTGATTATGCATGAAATTGACCTGCTAATACGTATTTTTGAGACTCTGGGTCTCTCTCCCTCAGGTTCTGTCCCTCTCGCTCTCTGGCTTTCTAGCTTTCCCTTTTTCCTCCACCACTACCACCGACTTAAATTATTTCTGGAGGAAATTAAAACAACTCATTTTCCCGAATTTCACGTTGTCTACGTTAGAATCCGTACTTCCGGTCACTGCGTAAATTGCCTCCTTTCCCTCCACTACCTGGTAGCTGACCATCGATTCATGTTATTTGATCGTATTTCCCCGGTGTTGGCAGTACACACCTAGGTGAAAGAGGAGTGCGGCTAGTTGTGTTGCTGGGGCTCAAATTTATTTACCCAAGCCGCCTCGCCTACCGCGTTCCCGGGCTCACACATTTCGCGGACAGGATTTTATCAGCCCATCGAATTACATCGATCTTGCTCCCATCGAATTGCATCCCATCGAATTAATCCCATCGAAATTGACTCATCGAATTCGACTCTCGAAATTACGACTCATCGAAATTACGACTCATCAATCGACTCATCAATTACGACTCATCGATGACTCATAGAAATGTCACTAGCGTTTCAAAATACTAATTTTGCCGGTATTTTTGTCATTCTTGACCGAAAAATCCGTTTCTCGACCTAAAATTAAATTTTTAATACAATCTGTATAGTTTTTGCTTGAATAGTTCAACCATTTAGGACGCTCCGCTATCCATAAAGTTTGGCTTGGACCGAAATTTGGTTGACAAACCGTATTTCGAGGGTTGTAATTTCGTGGTCGTTTCGTGGTCGTAATTTCGATGAGTCGTATTCGATGGTCGTAATTCGATGAGTCGTATTCGTGGTCGTATTTCGATGGGTGTATTTCGATGGGATGCATTTCGATGGGTGCATTCGATGGTGCATTCGGGCAGTGTGTTTCGATGGGTTAAAAAAACGCCCGCGGACAGCTGTGGCTAATATGAGGGCTAGCTGCTGAATTTGAGTTTTGTCGAAATACTATTATTATTCGTATTTAGATTTTTTTTATCGAATTTTAGGGGATCATGAGTTTCCGGAAGCCTTACTGGCTTTTTCATATTTTTTAAACAGCTTTTCGGCGAGTACAAGCTGTATTTTCCAACCCAACCCCTTGCCAAAACTTGCTACATCTAGAGGACAGATCCTTTAACCCCTAAGCCCCTTATTTAGCAATTCATGGCCTTCCATCTTCTTCTCCTTGTCCTTCTTTTCATTCTGCCGCTCCACACCGAACTCAACGATTCATGGCTTTCTTCTGTCCACATAGTGTTCCCACCGCACAACCCGGAGTCGCGCCTTGAGCTTGGTCAGTCTGGAAATATTTTTCTCTCCTAAAAACGCGGCTAGAAAATTTTACATCGGAAATTGAGGAATACCGCGTGAAAGCCGTGAAAATGGGTAAGTTACTTAGCGTTAAAATGTTTCAAAGCCCTAAAATGGCCCTTCGGAAAGTTTGCAAAGAGCTTTCACGATGCGGATTTGCTTGGGTTTGTTGTCTCGCTCCCTTTAGAATTTACAAAATACCAGCGATGACCCCCCGCTACGCGGGTGTTCAGCGCTGGCCCCCTCCCACCACAATTTGAATTTTGAATTTGAATGCAAAATTTGGCTGAATTCCCGGTCGGTCGGTCGGTCGGGCGTACGGACATTAGAAATTTATATATAGTAGATTTTTTTGCGAACGCAATTTGTAAGGATTTACCATACATTTTACCGCCGTCGTGACACGCGACGCGCGCGCCATGATCTACGACCCCGGCAGGTCCACCGGGAAGCGTGCGCGTTGCGTGTCGCGGCGCTCAGCGGAACCGGAGTGGATATAAACCCACCAAAATTGCTGGCCCCACGACAGTCCCTTGCAAAGAATTTTTCCATTTTTTAAAATTAAATAAACAGGCGCATTTGACATTCATTTGCCCTCGATTAGCATGCTGTTCAAACCCACGATCCTTCTGTCATCGGTCCGTCTAAAACTTGGGTGCAGGAACTGAGGATCAAACTCTTTTTTCCTCAGCTGTCTGTTATTGCTGGCCCGAGTTTGAGAACCGTCTCAGATTTAACATGGCTCAGATTTCACTTGGCCGTCTCTCTGGTCCCTCACTCCTTCATTCATGAAAGTTATTTGGAAAGGATTCTCGCTTTCTTGGGCTTTGACCTCCCGCTCATGCTCATATTTGGATTTTTTTCCAATTTTAGGATGGAGTTTTCGACCTTGTGCACCTTGGCTTTTGAAACTCTTTTCGCGTGACGCAACGTAACGTATTCCCTAGGATTTCGACCCGGCTTTGGAGTATCGTGAGAGAGAGAAGAGAGAGAGAGGGGGGAAGAGAGCCAGATCCAAAGCTGGTAATTGCATTCAGAGGCCACAAACACGCAGCATCGGCAGTCTGGAGGGGGGGGACCAGGCTGGTGGAAGAATTCCGGGGCGGCAGAATGAAAGAGTAGCCGCTGTCGGCGGGGTCAGACCCAGAAAGTCACAAGTTTTTGGAGCTAGGACTTCATTCTCTTTACGCTCTCCTCTCTCTCTCTCTCTCTCTCTCTCTCTCTCTCGCTCTCTCTCTGTTCTCTTCCTCTCTCCCTCAAGTCACTAGACCAG